GCTGTTGGCCTTCTTGGCCACTTGAGCACACTGCTGGCTCAAGTACAGTCTGAGAACAATGACACTTTAAATAGCCATGTTCAAGTAAAAACTCTTGACCAACCTCAACTTCATATAATTGCTGAAGTACAAGGTCAAAGGTAACTTGATGGAGTAACTTGAAGCACAAAGTACAAGGTAAGTTGATGGAGAATGATGACTAGACAGAACAATGAATATCTCTTAACCATAGAGATTTTCTTGTTCAAGTATGTTTTCTCATTTAAATGAAGGGTTAAAGATAATAACTTAATGTTGATAATTTTTCTGTTTCAATCTCCTTAGCAATTTCCTCTTCCTGCAAAATTTTTCAGACCCTATGACCAACCTTGTTAGACCTTTCTTTGATATGACTGCAAATATTGGCATCTAAGAGCTTAAGATAAAACAGAAACTTTTTTCTTCACTGTTTCTTTTTTCTTTTGGTTGAACCATGATTCCCAATCTGAATAACATGCTGATAGGTGTGAAGGATATACCAAAACATGGTCTTGAAACAGTGTTTTTCAATTTGTGGTCTGCAGTCCTCGGGCAGTCCAGAGCTTTACTCTAAAGGGTCTGTAAAAAGTTACTAAGAAAAGCAAATTTATCATCAGTAGGCAAAAACTTGCCAAGTGGGACTTGGTAGCCCCAGTGGAAAATGAGATTAAACCATAGCATATATATGAGGAAATAGAAGATATATAATGGTATGTTTACTTTGTAAAGTTTCCTAACGGTGAACATGCACTTATATGAAAAAGATGGATCACTTCTCATTTATTCCTTCCTTGAATTAAAGAAAAAACTGAACAAAACATAGCACCCATTATTATTCCTTTGATGTTGGCATCTTAAGTAGAATCATAACGACAGGGAAAAGGGTTAACATTGCTTCTTGAGCTAAAAATAGGTTTATTTTGTAAAAATAATACACCTTGCCAAAATTAAGAATTGTTTTCTTTTCATCATGTTAATAAGGAATGACCTTTTCTTCTGGTACATCATGCCCTCATAAAAATAAACAAAACAGAAAAAAGGCAAGATAATCAGACAATCTGGTAAAAAAAATTGAGATTACTATGATGTACTGTACATTTTTATCTTCATAAACAGCCCTAACCTGTATTTCTATAGGAAGAACTTTAATTTGCTGAGACAACAAGTTTTTGTAATAACTCTTAACTTTCATCACCTGTTCATTGGGAACGAAATCTAAAATTTAACAAAACTGGGCAAGATGACCTATTTTTGAGCCAAAGGTAGGAAAAAAGTATAATTAAAAAACCTAATTCAAGGTAAAATTTCAGAGCACTATATCCTCATTCACTGAAATTCCTGAATTACAAATAGAATGTATTGTTAAACTCTGCTGAGGCAAATTAATATCTAGCAGGTGTTTAATTATCCTTTAATAATTTATAACAATGTATTTTCCTCCTTCTTATGTTGTTGTACCTCATGAATATCAAATCAACTACTACGGTTACACCACTGTGAACTTGGAATGAGATTAGAATTGCATCCGGAGTGACAACTGTTGCTAGGAAAAAAAAAAAATCAACTGGAAGAGTAAATAATTTCAGGCTGCATCAGCAGAAACATAAATGAATTTTAAAAATCACTCAGAAAATTGTTTTCTTCTTTTTCAAGTGACAAATACACACATAAGGAAATTAGCATAGCTGCATGGACTTGTTTCTAATTTGCTTCTGTTTTCTCTTCTCTCTTCAGTTTGACATTTCTGCTATATAAAAGTAAACAGAGCAGCTTGCCTCAAGACTGCAAAACCAAACACAATTAGTACCGTATTGAGTAGATTTTGGATAAGGCATGTAAGGAATATCCTGAAAGTGGTCAGTTCAACAGTTCCATTTTGATTTAATCAACAGAAGCTGAATTAGGTCATTTAATAAAGGGCCAATACCATTACCACTATTGCTGCAGAGTCCTACTTAGTTTGCAAATATGTATTGCATCTAATGAGACTACCTGATTATAATTAAGATCATAGAATCTAGGCTTGAAATTAATTATTGAATGCACAGAAAGATTTTGTTCCATGTATGTGTGGATAGTTCAGATCTATCAGAACCTTAAATGCTGACATACTCTACATGTCCACTTTAAAGAATACCTATGTAAGAGTGTCCTTTTCAAAATGTATCAGCTATGAACTCTACAGCCAGGAGTTCTCTCTTTTCTGTGTTTTTACAATGCACAGCAGACAGTAGGCTCCAGTCTTGACTAGGATCTTTAGCCACTATCATGCTCTAAATTATTTAATGATGTTACAAGCAGTAGTCTCTTCTTTGAATGTTATTGCTAAGCCTCTCATGGCCATGATCTTATTTACTCTGTTACCACTGTACTGCCAGCTCAGTCGTTACTCTTCAAAAGACTCAGAGCACTACCTAAAATGGCTGAGATTCTCTCATGCCGCAGCAAGTGCTCTCTGATTAAACTCTTTGTGAGGCAAGAAAATTCAGCACATCTTGTAGATTTGGCTGATGCTACAAACAAATGTACTAATGACAAGTAACAATGACTATTTAAATGAAGACTACTTGGAAAAAATATAGCTTCTACGGACTACATGCTGATCCCACATTCACTTGAGGAACTATTAACTATGTCCGAGAAGAATTTCTACTAAAATTATAGGGGTTGTAATAGAGAACAAAAGGACCATGAATGAAATCAGACTTGTGCCTCAGGGATAAAAAGATTCAGTAACAGAGTAATTTTTCTTTTTATGAATGACTTTATAATATCATTTATTTTGAAGAGTGACTTTACATTTTTACATAATCAACAGTTATTTTTTAGAAACTTAAACCAGACATTTATATTTAAACAAAACCAAAGTAAATCAAACTTTGGCATGCAAAATCTACGTGTTAAAGAAGCCACATAGGTGACCAAGACCAAATGAAATAATGGGCTTTAGTGATTCTCATGCATGTAAAATTAATCCTTAACGGGATGAGTGAAATCTCCAAGATAAACAAGTTAATTTAAAAAGTCTACAAAGAGGATGTATTAAAAATATGCTTTAAACATGATTAAATCTTAAATCAGTTAAGATTTAAAAAATACTGTTTTCAGAACCTGCATCATCTTGTACTCTATAGTTGCTCCAAAGTATGAAAAGGTTCTGTATTGATCGTAACCAAACAAAAACCAGGGAAAATCACTGTATTTTTGGTGGGAATTATGCTTTCAAATCTTGTATAAGCATATCTTTACCACTATATAATTATTTTCAGCTTCCTAATAAAAATACCTGTGACAAATCTGAATTTTAATCCACACAAAAAAAGAACATCAGTGAATGAACATGAGTGAATGGTGCCTACCAGGAGGCATCATGGATTGTTCTTGGAAATGGTTCAAAGCATCTTTCAATCTCTCAATATCCTGTAGCAATACAAGGGATTTCAGCTGATGCAGAAGAGTCACATCTGAGGAAGAGATGGTGCGAGATTCAAGATATTGTAAAAGCTCTTGGGCAGTTGCTGAATTTACAGCAGAATCTGTGCCTTCTGATTTATCTGGAAAAACAATTGGAAAACCACATTAAAAATACTCAGTGAGCACAGAGAATTTTCCTAATTATACTTTATTTTCAAAGACAGCATCTTCTTTTTTAGTACAACTTACAACCAAATGGTACTAAAGAGCAGCTTGCTCCTCCCATTTTTTGTTAAATTTTAAAACAATGGTAAGAGAGAAAAGTAGCAAATTCAAAAAGTAAAAAGGACAATAGGATTCATAGTGACAGCAATGCAAGAGGAATCTAAATTTTCAAGATTAGCATAGGAAGAAGGTGTGATGAAGAAACTGTACTTTGGCCAAAACACTGTAGTTTTGCTTCCTACACACTATTTATTATTAAAATGCACACACATGTGGAGACAGGGAACAACTCTGTGGAACTACCGCAAAGCAATTCTGGAGGCATCCAATTATCTTGTTATCGTACTTTTACATTTTTATTTAAAAAGCACATATTACAGCATGGAAGACAGCAGAGAAGGACATACACTGTTTCTACAGTACTAAAGCATAAATTCATTCTTCCATTCCACTAACAATGTATAGTCTGTCCCTTCAACCAGACTCCCTTTAATTGTTCTGTTATTACCAGCAGGCCAACTGAGAAGAACAGATTTTTCCTGATTCAGCTTTCTGACCTAAGTACAAGAAGTATAATCCAATGTGACCAGTTGAAAATTCTGCTAAAAGCAATGGCTTCCAATTTCATCTAAAAAATGGGGAGTGTTAAAGTCACTGAACTATAAAAGGCAAACAGCATAATGTCAGATCTATATATAAACTGAGATTTGCCTAACAAGAAAGTTAGTCACACTCTGATTTATGGATGTGACATCTTATCTGCAGATGAACTTTCTTTTACCTGAGAATTTCTCTCTGTGGATTCCAAGGTCCTCACTAGCTCAACGCTCCGATCTGCAGGTTTGAGAGCAGGGCCAGTCAGTCTGTCAACTGCTGCTAAAACCTGAACTTGACTTCCAGGAAAGCTGGAAGCACACCACTTTTTCTTAAAATTCAGCATTTCACACAGCTGTGGATAATTGACCAGGTTTCTGTTCTGGGTCATGTACTAACAGCAGAACTGTTAACATTGAGTTTACAATCTTACTGGAGTTACACTACAGAAGTACACGTAGTTTAGCTTACTTATCCATACACTGAAGTAGTAAAATTCTTATTTTTGGTGATGGAAATCTATTAGCCAGAAAGTAGGATGGATTTTGAATACTAGGGTTAGTATGAAGACCTGACACTGCAGAAATCTTTTAAAAATAAGCAAAGAAAATTCTATGTATAAATCTTGAGAAAAAAAGTAACATGAAATCCCTGATGTCTTCTTAACAGGGTTTTTAAAGTAATTCAGTAGCCAAAGATTAATTTTATGGGACTAGAAGCTGACAGCTCTGACTTAAGATGGACTCATACAGGTAGTTAAACTGTTTAATATACTTAATTCAGCTCCACAGTCAAGGCCATGCTCTTTGAAAAAATTTTCGCTGCTTCTTTCCAGTTTTACAAGACAGTTATCATATTAAAGCTATGCTCTGAGCTGAGCAACTGAAGAACACACCAGCTTGCCCTTAAGAAAACATATTTAATTCTAAATGATATCAATATAATCTGGTGTATGTACGCATAATTACTACACTCACCATTAAAACTTCATTATGTCTGAAAGGCATTTATGACATAAGCACCATACAAACAGCTGTTCAGGAAAGCAAGGAAGAAACATACAGTAGGAGTTTCTCTGACTTTAGGGGCCAGATGAACACTCAATAGGCCATTAGGGATAACATCCATGCAATCCTTTTTAAAGTGCTATGGAATGTGCATTGAGCATCAGTTCACATTCATCTTGTTCACAAGCGCTTTATACCAATACACTTTCCCAATGCTAACAGTATCTTCCCCTTTCCTCTTGGATACTGTCTGTCTAGATTTCCTTATATACTACAAATAAATCTTCTCCTAGGAAGGAGAACTTTCTGAAAAATAGGTTTGTTCAGAGATAGTAAGCATGAAAGTAGTTCAGGATAGCAATTATTGCCCTCATTTGAAGCCCTTTGAAAGCAAGTAATCCTTCTGGACATTTGCTTGCCTAAGAAAGAAGAATTTGGTCCTTTTTAACCACTATGTTTACCCCAAGTGCACTGGAATGTTTTAAAAAAGAGCAAGAAATATCATGCATATTTTCAAAGACAGAGAAACAAAGAGATTAGGACTGCTGTTTTTTACATTGATGTGGATTCTTACATATTCACGTACACACCAGAAAATGGGACAAATACTAAGTACTCACATGTCTTACTGAGTTCAAAAGAGAATAGATTTGGCCCATTCTACAGCAATAAGAAGTGCACATCTATTTTCCCCTACGTGCTAATACTCATGAAAAGAAAGGAGAAAGAGTGGTACATACTGTCAGCAAAATAAATTTGTTGTGTTGCCTGCAGGAAGTCCAGAATGCTATCTGCCTTTTCATCTATGTCTTTTAAGCCTGCTGCTTCTTCTCTGTTGTTTTTGTCAGGCTGATATGTAAAATCCACACCGGTAGTTTTTGTTACCAAGCCAGCTGCTCTCATTTTTTCTTTCTGTCGCTTCTTTTTCATTTTCCTCTTTTTGTTTTTGCTTATTTTGGGACTGTCTATCTGCTGCAGCTGTAAATTATCTTGAACAAGAGTCTCTTGCATTCCAGATTCTGTTTGTTCTCCATGTAAATTATTAGAGTTTTGCAAACTGTTCTTTTGTTTCTTCCTTCGAATGCGCTTTCTCTTGGTTTGTCCTTGATATTCCTCCTCTGCAGATTCAAAAGAGACATTATAGTTGCAAATAAGAAGATCTGTAATAAGCATTTTGGAACTGCATACAATGAAATATTACTCCCTTCAAATTCTGGGATGTTTGAGTGGCTCTAACCTTACTTTTATGCTTAGAATGCCTTTCAGTACTGCAATGTCAAAGCCAACTTTTCTGAATGCACTGAGTAAGAAGACAAGTTCTTTTCCCTTCTGCTTTCAATAAAGACTGCACTCTCCTTCATGCTACATACTTTACATCACATTTACTTTCTTAAGGCAGACGATATGGTTCTATACAGAGAGTGAAGTCAAAAGAATCGCCAGGGCAAAAAACAGTATGGATAGGCTGGGGGACATGGGATGAGAGAGCTCCCCCAAGAGCCCCACACCACCAGTTGGTAGATTTGACCAAGAATGCCAGAAGAATGCATGCAATTCACAATAAAAGACAATAGTGCTTATATCAATGATATCCCTCCACGATAGTGCTGTGCCTTAAAACCACCAGGCATCTGTTTCTGATTCTTCTACTTTCTCCTCCTTAAACATCCTCCTCCTTTGGGATATCTTACTGCTAGCTCAGCTCCGGACATCAACTTTATACGGAAAGCATGCAAGGCATCAGTGACCTTGGCAAGTAATCTCTGATCTCTTTAACAGCCTGTCTTGGTTCTGTCGTTCCCTTGCTACACTATAATTTCCTTACTAGCTGATTCTTCAAAAGGCTCAAATGTCAAGGGAAAGATGTCCCTCTTGCTCTCCAAGACAGCTTTCGTGCTTCTTTACTCACATCTTATCCCTGTACACAAAGCTGGAGTTCTAAAGACATCTCTGACCCTGAACTGACTGCCTCTCCCACACGCTCACTCCTGAGTGTAAGCCCTCCTTGGCACTAGCAAGGGAAGACTGCCAGAATCCATCTTCCCTTTGAGAGCTCTGCTGCTGAAGTCCATATTCATGCCTATGATGAGTCCTGTCTAATTAACTGAAATTCCCTCTTTCATGATCTAACAAAATCCTCACGTTTAAACATCATGGAGCACAGAACGCCAGTGTTCTTCTAATGTCTTGCTCTAGAAAGTTAAGCCATTTATCCTTCCCTCAACCTCTACCTGCATGTTTCTAAATTTGTCACAGTGCACTGAGCCCAGTACTCTTATTTATCTGGTTTTACGCCATTCCCTTATTTACCTGGTTTTACACCATTCCCTTAGGGTCAAAGAATCTTTGCTTGGCTAACGCCGGTGTAATGCAAGAGAGACACCTGAAGCCCAACGCTTGTTTCCAAATGATCTGCATGGTCTCCTGAACTGCCTCTGACATTCTCAGCTTGTTTGGCTTTCTCATCACTCCTCCCCCTACCAGTCTTTCCCTCTATCTTCTCCATGGTTGGAGGCCCTCTCTTTCATTTCTGTTTCTTTTTCTGTCTTGAACTCTGTCAGCTCTGAGCCACTTTCTCTCTTTAAATATCACTACAAGACTTTTAGTTCTTTAGCTGACAGATGACTCACTGCAAAGCAATTTCCCATACTTTCTATGAAGAAGGCTGCATAAAAATAAATTTGCTGTATTGTAATTGAACACCACAGCATGTTAAAGACACACCAAACGTCACCTCGTACCCACAGTGTGGAATGTTTCGCACGCATGGTATTTGAGCTAAATATCTTTATACATGACTTGGACATATGGGATGTGGGAAAAATAACGTCTGTGTCATCCTGTAGGAATAAAATATCAGAAGGCAGATATGAATGGTGAAAGATGCTATAAACAAAACATCAATGTTTCATCTTAAGATCTAATTTGGATTTTCACGGGAGTATTTGTGTTACAGTAGGTGAATTTCACTGTAAACATAGATACATTGTTCCATAAAATTTCTCAACCCTCTGTTAACATGAACCACACTGTTTGCTAATAACGCTACTCTAATCTGTGCTCTCAGCAAAGTGGCCCAACATGCTCTTTAAGCATCCCAGAATCACTAAATCTCAGCAAAACTACAGCACGTTGTGCAGCCAAGGACCCTTAACTAGTTTGAAGCCACTTGAAAAAAACAGTGCAGAAGGCAGAACATGGCTTAAGAAAATGGATGTTTTGAGTCAAATCCAAAAGTTTGCTTATTCTTGGTAGCTCAGGACAGCAGAAGGTCTGAAGAGACCAGGGTCAAAAGGCAGAATGAATGTAGTCTTCCGATGTATACGTTATTAAGATAAATACCCGACTGAAAGGAAATCAGAACTGTGCTGAGTTTCCTCCAACACAGAAAATAAATCAAACACAAGACTTTACCTAGTTCTCTTGAGGAGTTAAACTGGCAGTCCTCTAGCAGTTTTTGTCACTCATTGCCCCATATTTTAATATCTCTTTAGTATCTGCTGCTCCATGTGTGGGAGCTCCTAGTGATTCAACATCAGGAACAGATGAAATTAGATGTTGACAAATACAAACCAATGCACACAAAAGGGATTAATTTGAACAGCTCACTGCTAGGGTTAGAGTGAACTGTTATCAGCTCAGGAAAAACAAAACAAAAGCCAGACCTGTGCATCAATATGGAAAGCTCAATGAAAACATTTGCTCAGTGGGTATCAGCAATCAAAACAGCAAATACCTTGTTTGCATACATAAGAAAGAGGATGGAAAATAACAGGAAAAATATTCCAAACCTCTTATACAAATCTGTTGCAGTCTTCAAGCTTGTAATGCTATGTTTCTTAGCATAATCCCAGCACAGTAAGACTTTGGCAGACAAGAGAACTCTCACAGAAGTTACCAGAGAAAGAAACTCCAAAAAAGATTTGTATGATTTGACTTGAAAGAAAGAGTAATAAAATGTTTCTGCCTCCTCATGCAAGAACAAGGTGATACCTAATTAATCTGAGCAGTTTCACAAACCAATAGAAGAAAGTAAATACTTGTTTTACAAGCGGTATAGTTAGCTTATTGAATTCACATGTGTGTGGTATGCACAGGAGCCAAGAGCTTAATGGGATTCAAGAATTGGTTGTTTATATAGCCAGCAAGGCTACCTGATTATAACAGCTATGCTAAAACATAAATAAGAGTTGTACAAGAAATATAAACCATAATGTTTAGGTCACAGCCCACACAATGATCTTAACAAATGAAATGTTCCGTGGGATTCACCTCCCACAACTTTAGCTGCCTGAAAAGAAAATGCTTAGTGCATACTTAGACTTACACTCCCTCTGATAAACCAAGAGACACTAGCATCTTCAGAAAGCAATCTACCTCACCCTAAACCAGCGGGGATGGAAATGCACCCTAAAGATCTTAATCTCTCTCTCCCCCTCCCCTTAACTACAAAGGAAATGTAGACAATGAATTTGGACCAGATGCTTGCAACAACTGAGAATTAGTCTCTTTTACAAAAGTGAAAAGTATGGAGGAAGGTGCTTCTTAACATGAGTCTGCTCACCAGACTGCTTTTTTTCTAATCAACAAAATCTAGTTTTATGAAAAAACTCCCGAACTTTTGACTGATTCTCTACATTTCAAACCAGTAGGGAGGCCTGATAAAATATCATCAGATATCAATTTGGTTGCAATAACTTTTCCCACTGACTGATGAGGTTTGTTATGTTAAAGCAGCATAATTATAACAAATGAAGGGAATATATACTACACAAGCAATCTTAGTAAGGTGTTGAATACATACTTAAGCAACGTCGATAGGAATATCAGCTTTTGGACCGCACTAACTATAGCCACAACTGCAGCTACAGCTTGTCCTAATTCCACAAGATGATGATTCTCCTTCTGTTCCATAACGGCCCGCCACCCCTCTGCCTCCTCAGACCCATCTCTGCTCCACAAGTGGCCGAACTTATCCCATAATCCAATTATCCAGAAGCAAGTGTCTTTAACCTGTTCAGTCCAGACTTGGTGCCCTCTCAGACTGTGCAAAGCGGCTTCCAGCCAGAATGCCCACATACATTTTCCAGCCACGGTCATAATTTCATAAGCATTTCTTTCAGCCTTAACAAGAACACACTCCTTAGGAACTGTTCAGAGTTAAAAATAACTGTTTTCTTTGTTTTGTTGGGGGTTTTTTTTGTTTGTTTTTTTTTTTTTTTCCTGGATTATTTTTAGTCTAGATTACTTTCCTGATGCCATTTACCATGCAGCTGAACAGTCACACTAGCCTGACTGACAGAATGATATGGAAGTGGGAATGAGTAGCCTGAAAAGGAAAGTCAGCACCAAAAGTCACCTTCTAACAGCCTATCTCGTCTGGTCTGAAACACTAAAAAGTTTTCTCCATGCAAACTCCATGTCTCCTTAACAGAACAGACACAGAAATATGTCAAAAAAGAGACTTAAAATGAAATAAAGGACTCAGTTTATAGCTACTACTTATTAAATTTTGATAATGGAAAGTCAGCACATCCAGTTTATATCTTCAAGGAAAAAAAGAAAATAATAAAAATAATGATTTACATCAAGACTCTGAATAAGCTGACTTTTATTTATTAACTTCTGTTATATCAGCAAGTTATTTTGTATTCATCATCAGGGCAGCTAGAGACATAAAGAGATTAAATACAAAGTTTAACATAGGCTAACAGCAATATCTGACTGTTCCTCCCATCCAGACTAACCATCAGCATGAAGACATTGCTGGCAACTCTGCAATTGAAAAGGTGAGCTTCCTCAAGTTTATCTGTGTTATTTCAGTTCCTTCAGACAATGGCAGATGGAAACATTCAGGGAAAGCATCACATAAGACAACGAAAAATGGAAGGCTATGTACGTAGGTGTCTGCAAGTCTAAGGTATACAAAGTTCCACAGCATGCCAAATGGAAGTCCGTCTTTGAGTATCTGAGAATAAGCTGATGATACTAGTGATTTTTAAAAATTAGGTCCCTAAATATTATTAGAACAAACCTTTAGAACAGCGCATTAAAAAAAAAACCCCAGAGATAAAGCAAACTGAGGGGCAGATAGACTAAGAAAATCCCCTGAGCTTTA